ATTTCTAAAGGGCAATTGAATCAATTATTTTTATCCCTAAAACAAATGGTATTTTTGGTGGGTTTTTTTATTGGGTAGTTAACCACGAAAGGGCTTCTGGCGACATACAGCCCCACCTAGAATATTTCACCAGCCGCGCACATAATCTAAATTAACTTAATTTAAATATGTTATTGTTTTTTTTTGGCTGAAGCACAGGTTCAGTTACAGGTTTTTGGAAGATGATAAACTTCGTTTTGTTGAAATATTTGTGTATGTTATGTTAGTTTTTGGGCTTTTAAAGATCATCAGTTTTAAAACAGTAATACATATCTCTCGACCTGGCAACAGTTTGACAGATAATGACAATGATATGAGATGTATTCTACTGTGTTCAGACGTTTAATTTATGTTTTTTCTTTTCATAAACATTATATCAGTCAATGTGAAAAATGACATAGCCTACCTGATAGCTTGTATGCTGTTGGTGAACCTCTCAATGACTCCTGTGATGTAGACAGAGTCGATGTTCCTCTTCTGCAGCTGGTTAAACAGCATGTCTACATGTGCCATGATCTTGTGAAAAGATGCCAGGAAAAAACAAAAATCTTTATCTTCCAGCATTCTCTCAAAACCCCCAGCCTCTCTCACAGTTGTTGCATCAAATTCACCTTTCTCTCTGATGGTCTGAAAACACTTCAGGAGGTCATCCTTGTGCTCATAAATGGTGTTAACAGCACGACTGTGAAAGTTCCACCTAGTTGTTGAAGCTCCAGGAAGTCTGTGTGCCACCACTTGATCAAGCACAGCAGTTCGCTTGGATGACCTGGAGAAAAATGCAGCAAATCCACCCAGATCTGAAAAAAAGCGCCGATTGGTGATGTAGGATGTTGCCTGCTGCATTATCAGGTTCAGCTGATGAGCATAGCTGTGAACGTAGTGGGCACTCCCGTACACGTCTTGAACCTTGCGCTGCACGCCACCCGTGGCTCCTCTCATCACGGCAGCTCTGTCATAGACCTGGGCGATTAGTTTTCCCCGTTGTCCTTCAGGAGGAATAGTCTTCAGCCTTTCCAACACCGCAGTGGCGGTCTTCAGGTGCTCTTCTAACACACCGTCCGACTAATCCCCGAAAAATGCCGGGGTTGTTGGACGATGCTGTCTCATCGTGGCCTCGCAATGCCAACTCAAAAGCTCCACAGAATTTCACACAATCAATGATCTTCGATAAAATATGTCTATTTTTATCCACCTCTTTATTGATTTTTCTCATCGCAATCCTGTGTCCTTCATCCAGCTGCGCAGCTATGCTAGTCCTGCCTAGCATGGCTAGCTTGACGGCGTTGTTCATGTGCACCTTCCAGCATTCATGTTTTTTAATCCGCTCTGATAAATGTTTTAGGTCTCTAACTCCTGTTACAGTCCATGTAATATATGTCCCCGGCATTTTAAACAGTAAACACGGGAAGCAGAATACTGCATTTGCAAAACTACATCCAGTTAGCCAAGCCTTCATGTCATACCAGTTCAGAGAGAAGCTCCTCTGGTACGTTTTACCTTTCTCCTGTGTCTGCTGTGTTAAATTCAGACCGGGCTTCTCAGGTCCAAGTTCTTTAACACGAAGTTTTTCCCCTAAAGTTCTCCTTTCGAAGTGGTTTAGCAAGAGCGATTTTACAGAAATTACGGGTAGCTGAAGCCCTATGTGTTCTTGGTCTTGTCTACTTGACGCCGCCATCTCGATTTCCCACACTTATTTCTGGTTGCTAAGATACTTATAGGCTTGGGGCGATATTTTCAGCGCCCCAAGCTTATCAAATTTGATGACGCTTATTGGCTAAATTACCCGTTGCTATGTGTTTTTTTTTGTCTCAGCAACAGTCTACCATTGGCTGAGCTGGGGCGACTTTTCTAGCGCCCCAGGAGAGAGGGGAAATGACCGTGGACACAGATTACCCCGTAAATAATGGTTTATATTATATATATGGCTCGTTCTTGATAATTCAAAACACATTTATTTGTAGAATAAGCAGTAATTATTATATTAAACGATTATTTTGGAAAAAATAAAAAAAAATAAAAAATCACTTTCCATCAGGGAGGGCGGCGCCCTAGCGCCCCCTATTGGCCAGCCGCCACTTACACCTACTGTAGGTGTAAACTCCAGACTACATGGATGTGTTACGAGAGATTAGGTTGTCATAATACATCCATGAGACAGGCAAATTATTATTATTTTTCATCGATTAATGTAATGTCTATTTTACATGTATCCAGTTTCCATCGATTTCAGTGAAAGACTAATTCCTTCAAAGATGCACCACACAGCGCCACAGGAAGTCATTCCTGCCTGTGGCCATCGAACTTTACAGCTTCGCTTGTCCTTCAGTGTCAGACGCTCAGAGCCAATAGACTGGCCCCTGGACTGATCGCACCCCGGTCAGCAGACGTTACTTCATAACTTATTTATTTATACCTATACTACCTGTGCAATTACACCATATATTTAATTTATATTTGAATTTTATATCTTAACCACCATTCTTAACATATTTCTATTTTTTATTTATATATCATAGTATAAGGACATATTTTTTATATTTATATTTTGTATTTATCTTTATCTTTATAATGTTACTTCTTATTCTATATTCTTTGCTGTTACATGTAAAATTATACTGTATTACTAAATTTCCCCCTGGGAGTCAATACAGTATTCTGATTCTGATCCAGATTTTTGAAGTCAAACTACTCTCTACAGGAGAATCCCACTCACCCGCCCCCCTCCCGGCCCACCCTGATACAACTACCAAGCGAACCCGTCTGAAGCTGGGGGAAATCCTTGACACGTGACAATGTTTACTTTATTCTAGAAAATCAAGCAGCTAGCAGCTATACGGCGATGACCGTGTGGCCGGAAATGTTTTATACGATTCACTGATAAACATCTGACTAAGTGCCAAGAACAGGTGAGTATTTGTGTCTCTAGTCTGTCAATCAAAGCTGATACTATGGTCAAAATACGACGAAATAACGTTAGCTTAGCTTTAACACCAGTAATGGTTGGCTGGTTAGAGATGTCGTTCACAATTGTAGAAATTTAATGTTGTTTTGTGTAAAAGAATATACCGAACTATTAATTTAATCAACGGGGTCGGCCTTTAATTCGCCGTATGTCCAAGACAACATACACCTCTCATCCGTTTGGCGTTTTTATTTTTCTGAGAATATTAAATGTTACTTCCTGAGTCTTTTCTCGAAAATTAAACACCATGGTCTGACCCAGTGCTAAAAGTTTACTTGTTTTGGTGGAATGTATGTTAACGGAAATGAATACAAGCCGTCACCTTTCTGAAAATCTTTCGAGTGCTATATTATGACAAAATCGTTTAGAAAAAAAGCAAGAGATTTTTTAACTGGCACATTTGGTTTGAAGTTCTCGCCATTAAAAACAGGACGCAACATTAACAGCTAACCTAGCAAAACTAGCTAGTCAGTGATGAAATACGCTAATGCTAAAACTGAGCTGCAGACAACAACAAGGCCAGTTTATAGCAGAGACCTGACTTAACCTGACCTTACGGTGTCGGTCAGCAAGTTTGCTCATTACACAAGAAACTTTACATAATCTTTTTTCTTTCACTTGGGCCAAAGTGTCACAAGTTTCACTTTCGGTTTTAAGCACAAGTGGATTTAAGCTCGAAAACAATTATAGTTAACGTAATTTGTAATATTTCATGCAGCAAAGGGTTGTAATACTTAGTATTTCCAGTGGCATAGTTCCCTCAGCTTGTGTTGCACCCATTATCTCAAGGCAGATAACATCTGACAAGTGATTTAACCACAGTTGTACTGAAGTACTAGTGTTATAGTAAAATTTTCTTTGCTGTTATAAAGCCACGAGCATTGTAGAGTCTCTCTATGCATTATCATATATATATACTGTATATCACCACTAATGTGGACAGTGTCTCTGACACAATGGCCATAATGGTGTCTGGTTTTAACAGTATTCTATCTAAAAATCTCTTCCTACTAGTTTGCCATCTTATGAGAGGAAATGAATCTATGTATTAAAATGCATTCAGCAGAATTATATTCACCACATTGCCCTGAGGCATGAGGAAGTTAAGTCAACTCAAGTAAACTTTATTTCTAGAGCACAATTAAAAACAACTGGAGCTGACCAAATGTACAAAGGACAATTAAGATAGATAAAAGCAAATAAAACAAATGTATAGAATAAGTAAAACACAAGGAAAGAATAGTAAATATAGGGTATACAGAACATGTAAACATACTAACAAAAATACAATTTTATACAATTAATTTTATACAATTATGAACATGACAACGAAGTAAAAAGTTTGTGAGCTAAAAAGGCCAGTGAATAAAAATGTGTCTTGAAATCTGATTTCCAATGGCAACTGGGTCTATAATGTTGGAGCAGCAACTGCAAAGGCTCTGTCACCTTTTAGCTTCAGTTGTCATCGTGGGACATACAGGAGGGATGAGTTTCAGATCTGAGAGATCCAGGAGCAGAGTGCCAATGAATAAAGTCGGTGAGGTGAGGTGATCTGAGGTGGGGCCTGACCATTAAGAGTCTTAAAAGTAATCAGCAAAGTCTTAACCTGAATTCTGAAGTGAACAGGGCCGTGGGTGATGTGCTCATGCTTACAGCTGTAAGGATGCAGTGGAGTTTACTGTTGGAGCATCACAGCCTTTGTATTAATTTGGATTAAGCACTGACTAGCATATGGAACATGTGTATGTAGTTTATATATTAAAATTGGTCTCAAAACTGATCAAGATATCATTAACATACAAATCTCCTGCTGAAGCTCATCCTCCATTTTAATTTAAGAAGATTTGGATCTTCTGGATCTGGGAAACTGGTGTTAATCGCAAAAACTGTAAAATAATGGATTAGATCAGATTGGCCAAATAATGATTATGTTCGAACAGCACAGTTATTATCAGATGAGAACAGAGTTTCATTCTTCATTTGATTGTCCTGTTTGTCTCCCGCTCAGCTGAATGATAGAGATGAGCAACTCCAAGCAGAGAGCCAGCGATCTTAAGAATGCCTATGATCACAGTCTGGAGCAGCAAATTATGGGACGAGGCTCCAACCTGGCGTGCAGAGATGAGGAGCTGTGGAAGCAGGTGGAGGGGCCACTGAGGGATGGAGATGCTCAGGAGATACACTGCCTGGGTCTGGATCCACTGAGTGTGATGGAGGAGTCGCTCAAGGCAGCAGCAATGGCATCAGCAACAAGAGCAGCCAGGGGTGGGCAAGTCAAAGCCAGAGGAGGGCTGCAAGGCCTGGCTAAAGCTTTTGAGGTCCTGGAGCAAGCGGCCCTGAACCTGTACCTCGGTCCCTGGAGGGAAGAGTACAAAGTAGTCAAGGTTGGCAGAAAACAATGATGGAATCTATGATTAAATTTCTGATTTAGGGGGTCTGGGCTATTATAATATCATCAAAATGGCCATTAAAAATAAAACGCTCTTTGGTTTTATTTTTGCCATGACAGTCCAGGACAAAATCAGTTCAGGGGTTCAAATATGACGCATGTTTTTACATGACTATATGATATTTTGGCGAGGTCTCTCTTGTAAAAGAGATAATGTATCTGATGAGAAATAAGTAAAGATATTTGATTGATTGATTTTCTAATTTTTGATTTGTTTGTTTTTCTTTTTTTTCCACTCGTGTCCCAGATGTACTCCGGCATGTTCACCCACTATATCAAACCTGTGCTGTCGATGCCACAGATTAAGAAACTGTTTGGCCTGTTAGGATACCAGCCCAGCTCTTCTCGGCACGAGCAACTTTTTCTCCAGGCACTCGCTGCTTCTCTGGATGAACTCCTCCACTTGTCTTGTGCTTTCTACCTGGCCCGTTGTGAGTGCCGCCTCCTTCAAGCAGCTCTTGGGAAGCATGTAGGTGAGCCCCAGTGGGAGCTGAGTTTGGTGAGAGAGAGGCAGAGAGGAAACAGCCTACAGGTATGTTTGCCTGGTGTTTGGAAAATGAATCCAACCCCACTCACGCGTCTAGACATTGGTCAAACCCACAGGCATTTTATTTGCATTTTAGGGGAGATCCCAAAGTTTCCAAAGGAACCAAATAAGTCAGGCATAAAATAATGGTCTAGACACAAATAGTGATGGTCTGATGGAATGGCGCCACCATAGAAGACCATGGAGTCTTGGCCTTGGGTATTTCACTCTGTGAACATCAGGTAGTTTCAATGAAGAGCTGTAACAAGATGAAACAGATTATCTTTTATGTAGAAGGCTGTGGGAATATGCTGACATTTACAAATTTCCTGCTACAGTTTGGCACCGGATACATTTCTATCCAGATCTGTGAGTCTTACCATTGGTAATATTCTATTTCATATATCCTTTCCAAATATAAATCCAGTTAAAATGGGGTTTCAGGCTCATTAAATGAGTTTTCCAGATAGATTTTAAATGACCCTCTTTTCTGCTTGAATGCCTCACACATTTTTACTGGTTATTGTTTGAAATGCCCAGCGCAAGTGACATTAATGCCAGCTTTTAATACTTGACAGTTTTAGGGAGCTTTGCTGTTCAGTACTCAGCCCTCTGAGGTCTAAGGGCATTTTCTCGATTACTACATTATTTCTTAAATTTTTTTAATATTTAAAGGGTACTTGCATATAACATAATACCAAAGTGTTTTATATCACAATTTTCAGAACAATCTCAGCTCTTTCTGTAATGAGGCCCCTTTTTGTCGTAGAGCACTGTGCAAAGACATAATTTGGCCCAAATGCTGAAAAATTTAAGCCTTGTTTTTGAAATTCTTCAAATATTTTGTGAAAACAAACCTTTACTGGTGTGGATGAATTGTTTTGGTACTTGAAATGGGTTTACCAAAGTCTATAGGTTCATAAAATGAAATTTTGTAATATCACTGTAATATTACTTTAACCAAATTTTAGAGGCGATGAGTCATGTATGATCTCACAAGAACATGTAAGGAAAAGTGGACATTCTACAGATTCTAACAACATTTAAACCACATTTCTACGCTGTATTATCGCAAGGATTTGAATAAAACCACCCATCATCCTCAGATTGGTTAAATAACTATTGAAGATTTATTGTCCTTGCATGTCAATAGGTCGCCTTGGAAAACACCAAGAAGACACTGAAAGTCAAGCAGCCACTGATGGAGCCGTTGGATGGAGAAATGGACATGGATCTGTACACAGATGAGCATGTTAATGGGCGGCAGAGAGAGGCAGTTGTCAATGATGACGAAAGTCCCCGCTCTTTAGCCTGGCTGACTGCAAGTAGTGCATCTCCCGCTCCTGTCAAAACACAGAGCAACGGAATGACATCCTTGTCCTCCTCATCCACCTCCCTGGCTGTCACACAGCAGGTCTGCATCTCTACACTCAACTGCCAGCTGCCCAAGGTGTCACCTCTGGAGTCACAGAGCACCAGAAGCTCCGCCAGCAAGAGGCAAAGCAGACATCCCTATGAGGAGTCAGGGTTTGACAAAGCAGAGTCACAGTCAGTCAGTCGGCAGTTAGAAGCGATGGAGCTTTGCAGGAGTGAGGCTGAAGCCAACCACTTCTGCAGCTGTCTCCAGTCTTCTACTGTCTATCCTAATCGCTGTATTGAATGCAACACTTTGCACAATATCACCTGTGACTTGCATCAGCAATGCATTATGAAGAACCACAGTCTTGTGACGTCTTACAATATGGCTGAAGTAATGAAAGAACAAGGAGCAGCGTCAGCACAGAGTGAAAGTCTCAGAGTGAGTGACAGGGCAATACCAACTCTCACCAGCAGCAGCGCAGCAATGTCTTCATTAGTTCAGTATCATGACCCTGAATCCATAAATCCATCTCTTCCTCCAATCACCTATCACGACTGCTGCAACCTCGCCCAGCTGGACCCTCAGGTCCTGTGTCGCACCTGCAGTGTCTTCCACACTCGTTCCTGCAGAGATGTAGACCGCTGCCAAAGTCAGCACCACACAGTCAAAAAGCTGGAAGTGTGTGCCTGCGGGAAGACATGTCCCAGAAACCCTCTGGTTCTGTGCAGATATTGTGGGAAAGAGTATTGCCGGGATTGTTGGTACAGAAATCCTGTTGTATGCACCTGTGGCCAAACCTTTGACCAGTCATCCCCTGTGTGATGTGTATTAGAAAAGTGGTGCAATAATGAGGCACAACTAGCAAAATCACAATGCCTTAAATATGCACACTTTAAAATCAAGAACAATCAAATCCAAATGTTGCCTTGACACAATGCTGAAATGCAGTATTATGTGTGCTCCAGTTTTCTATTTGCGACGTCTCTCATTATTCTTCTTCATCCAGGTATTATGTAAATGGACATATTAACCATCATCATCATTTTAAAGTATTGTGTATCTTTGAGACTTGAGGTTGTGGTTACAGTTTGTGCTCTTGAGTCACTTGAATGTAACTTGGTGCAAAGCACACGGACATCTGTTTTCATCTGTATTCAATGCCTGCACTCAGACTGGAGTAAAAATGGTCAATCTGCCACTTGTCTGTGTTAAATGTGTTTTATCATACCTGAGCAAATGACTTGGTGACAGTAGAGTTCTGGTATATACCAGAAACATCAGTTCTCACTTTTATTACTGTATTCAGTCATATCGAACACTAATCAAGTCCTTTCTGAGAACATTTGAATGCCTTTACTTTTTGGCGTATGTGGCTCTGTCTTCCTTTTTGTGTGTAATTGCTCTTGAAACAAACAAAGGCCTCAACTAACAATTATTGTTATTAGTTAATCTGCAGATTATTTTCTTGGTTTATCAAATCATTTTGGTTAATAAAATGGCCGTCACAATTTCCCTAAAGGCTTGGTTGAAATATTTGGGCATTTTTGCTTAAAAATGACTTAAATGATTAATCAGTGATCAAAATTGTTGCTGATTATTTTTTAATTAATAAACTAATAAATTTAGCAACATGTTTTTTTGACAAGATTTCAGCTGATACAGCGGGGAAAAGTGCACTAAAGGATGAGGAGAGCCAATGTAATGATGTACAGTATGTACAGTATATACACATATTTATAATATGATGAACTGCCTTTTTAAGCTTGGTGACAGATCAGCTGTGGAATAATTTAATAGGAAATATATGTAAAATATTCTTAACCTGGAGGTGCCTGCTTTTCATTGGATGGATTAAATCAAATCAAAATCTAATCAGTAATTTGGCCAAACTGTCCACTATATTTCATTTAGTATTTTGGAAATATCCTGCAGACAGAACTCCAGAAAACTCGCATTCAGTTGTTAAGACTGTTTTTCCAGGACATGTCCTGCGTCCCCCGTCCAAATCTGACCAGGGTCACGTGGACTCGTCCAAATTGTGTTTTATATTATTATTTGAAATTTTTGTTCAAAGAACTTTACTGATAGCTTCTGGAAAATTTTAATGATGTTTTACATCAGTGTATTTACAGGAGTTGAACAGATGGAAGTCATCTATTGAAATGGGTCATATTTTTTGCTGTACAAGCATTTAATTCATCACGACAGTGTCAGACATAATTCACAAATTTTATCGTGTACATATCAGCTTCTTTATTTATCAAGCATCTGGAGGTCCACAGAACTTTGCTCTCTTGGCTGCATTTTAAAGGGATGTAACTGCTTTGGGGTTTCTGCCATGCACCTTGTAGCAACCACAAAAACACTTCCAGTGCTGTGATGTATTTTCTTTTGAAGCAATTCTCCATGATCCTGGAACCAAATTCTAAAAGAATTTCAGGTTCACAGATGGTGTGGAGCAAAACTTAAATCATATCATCAGTTTTACCGATCGCTGATGTAAATGTTCGTGGTCGGTCCTGAGGATTTGTCCGGTTCTATTGATTGTGCTCGTGCCAGTTGATGTTGATGAAGGTTTTGCTGTCCATGCGGTCAATATAGAGGACCCCATCCAGGTGGTCCATCTCATGCTGGACGATACGAGCTGTCCAGTCGCTGGCCTGCCACGTGACAGCTTCACCCTTTTCATTCAGACCTGCAGGAAGAGCATGCAGGGGACAAGAAAAATATACAGAGATGTATTAGTATCTGTCCTTTTAATGTGTCTACTAATAAGACACAGAGATGCCAATATCACATCAGAAACTTAGTGTAGTGTCAGCACCCTTATTAACACTATTCATACTCTTATAAAATGCTCCGTTTAGAATCTTTTTTATTGTTTTTTTGTGTCAGATGATATTTGGCACATATGGTGAAAAATGTAAAAGGCAATGTTGTATAGGAAACACAGGATCAAGTTATAAACATGCGTACCAGATACTTCCACAGACAGGTAGCGAGGAACTGTGGCAGAGTAGCCTGAGATGCTCTCACATGCTTCCTGAAACAGCACAGTCCGACCATCCAGCACCCTCAGCTGTGGGTTGACGAAGATTCTCAGGGGCTGGACGGAGAGACCACGGACCTCCCTCGATGCTGTCGAACTCTCTTCCAACATCCTCTTGGGATATTCCAGGGCCATGATGCGGAGTGGCACCCCAATCTGAGGTGCACTCAGTCCAACGCAATCAAGCTTCCGCATCACTTTCACCATGGTGTTGATGACCTTTTGGATCTCCGGGCCTGTTACAGCTGCAGGGTCAACAGCAGCTGCGCTGGCACGCAGCACTGGGTCTCCTACTTGGCACACGTGACTATACGGAGGACTGGGAGAGGGTATAATCTTCCGTTTCATGTAATGGAGATAGGAGCGCACCTTGACATTGCTGCAGTAAGAGCGTCTGCAGGGTACAGGTGAGTGGGGTGAGATGTGTGAAAGACAAGTGTAGGTCACTGTTGGTAAACTCGAGGCTGAGGCTCTGCAGTGAGGGGCTTTGGATGCACAAAGTCTGAACCCCGTTCTGGAGAGTTGGAGCAAAGATACACATGATGTTGTGTTCATGGTGGAGCTTCAACTGCGAAGAAGTATCACATCAGGGGGTGATACACAGTGCTGTGGGGACATCATACAAGAGAAGGACATGTAGTTACTTTATGTTTCTTACCCTGTGTCATGAAGACCACATGCCACATTTTGAGACTTAATGAAGTCATTAATTTGATGACAATGAGACATTTAAATTCAGGCCCAATCTTGCCCTCATACGTCCAGACAAACATTACACCTATAATTTAATGTTTAACATGTCATTCCAAAACCATGGGCATTGATTTACAGCTACTCCGCTGATTTCAGGCTTGCCACCAGGTTTATTACTTGGCTGCAGTATTTTGATGCATGACATCAAATTGATGCGCATCCAGGTGTAGTTGTGCGGAATAAACTTTAAGGTCTAGGACACATGCTGTTTCATACATGACCATAATTACTGCTGAATTTAAAGTCACTGTGTGTGTAATGTAATTATAGCATCTTAAAATGATTCTGAAGGCTTAAGTAAATAAAGGTCACAATACCAGTGCCGCAGTGTTTACTTCTACCACTGGGGGGCGCAATTGCTAAAACATTTCAATTTGAGATGCCATAGCAAGATTTTGGTCATTTTATATTAGATATAATCTTTGTCGATCATCCATGTGGTTAGTTTGCTGCAACGCTTCCTCCGTTCAGCAGAATATAGCTGAGCAGTACGTTAAACACCGCCGACGGGGTAGCCTGGTGCAACGAAACATGCGCGCCCAGTCAATAGCCACTACAAGGTACAAAGCTAAGTCGTTAGCATGAGAATATAGACGTTACATATAAAAAATACACTAGTAATTCTACTAACCAAGGGTAGCATTTGCCAATTTAAAGACGGCGTATATCTCGGTTACCTTGCACTAGTTGGAAAGGACCAACACCACACACTTAGGAGAGGACGTTACCGCAGCTCAGTAAAGCTAGTTCCGGGTCAACAACGTCACAAGGGAGAGTAAACTTCAGAATAAAGGTCTATGTGCATATTTTCACCATGGATGTATCATTTTAGTTCTTTGTAATTGATCTTGAACGTTACTTTGAGTCTCTTAAATTGGTAATAAACAAGAAGTCCATGTCAGTAGTTGATGTATATTCTGAAACGCTTGTCTGAAGAAGTCTCCCACCTAAATTATATATTTATCATTTTTTAATTTATGTATACATATATATATATTTTTATTAATTTCCATCTTTTTTGTTGAAATTATATCTGATTCTTTTATTTAAGAACTAATATGTCTGATTCTTTGTAAAATTTCCTAAAACAAACTTTATTTAGATGACAACCGTCTTCAGTGAGTTTGACCCGGAAGTGATTTTTCAAGTTTTTCAAAAGCCGAAATGATCTGTAAATAGAACTTCGGTGGTGAACAATTGACATCTTCAACTTGTCTGTACATGTCCAGCATGGTGGGCGATCGGAGCCCATTCATAACTCGACTTTAAAAGGTCCAGCGGCTGATGCCCGGTGCTTCAAACCCGCGGAGCTGAGAGTCGTGGTATCAGTGTGATGGAGGGAAGAGCGCTGCAGGCTGACAGTAACTGTTTACTGAGCTTACCAAAGTTACCAGTGTGGATCATAGAGTATGTCTGGGTTCACAAGATGATGGATATACAAGAAGGTCGGTGTTCACTTATTTTTATGTACTGAAAGTTGGGGTAATAACACTTTAATTACGTTTTATGACATTGCACTGTATCAATAACGTTGTTTGTTTGTTTGTTTGTTTGTTTTGTGTGCTTAACTGTCACCATACAGAAAACTATTGTTGCATGCAGGCTTTGAAATCTAGGTTGAAACAAACTGCAGGACAGATATAAGAGACTGTATGCATGTCTACTGTACTGCTGTACTATACAGTACATTGATATGTGTAAGTATGTATAAGGAGCCTATGTAAGCAAAGATATGATAAGTGAGTGCAGCCACAAGTTGTTCAGTGTTAACATCTTTGTTGATTACTTTAAGTTTTCATTTAATTCATTCATTTTCATTTTTAATTCTTAAACCACATTAAAAGAGTCTCAGCTTTAATTTGAATAGATTTACATCAATATGAAAGACCTGTGTGTGAGAAAATGTTTCCGATGAGATCACTGTCACTGTCAGTCACTGCAAAACACAACAGATGACTAAAAATGACAGACACAATGAAATTAAAATCCGAGGAGGATGTGACGTGCTTCATGTTTTTTTCGCTCAGTTGTGGACCCTTCTGATTGGCCAGATGTGGACTCCCAGCCTCTTAGCATTGAGGATTCCTGGAGGCTGCGTGTTGCCTCTGCCCAGGTATATTCCATTGTGAAGAACAGGGACATGGAGCACTTCGAAAAAGTGATGGGCTTTCTGGAAGCCACTTACAGACTTCTACCCAGACTGGTGACTCCCATCAAACACATGAAGGTCATGTTTGGCCTTAAAACCATGGTATGGTAGTGAGTGCTGGTAACCCTCAGCCTGTAAAACTGGTGCTACTGACATGTTCTAGTAGAGTTATTCCATGGCTGTATTTATGTGCTTTCTGTTTATCTACCCCTCTCTCTTGGTTATTGTTTCTCTGTCCAGGTGATTATGTGGATGCTCAGGGAGGGTCAAGGAATGGTTGATACTCTGTTTAAAATCGCCCAGTTCTTCCCAAGTAAACTACCTCAATACCAAGATCAATGTGTAAGTGTCCAACACTGAAACTGTCCAACGTTCTGCATATTTCTAAGTCTTTGAAACAGCTAAACATGCTCTTACTCAGTTGATCTTAGAAATGTGTAGAAGTCAGGGGCTTCAATTTTACCTAAAGTTGTACTAATCATTGTTTTAATATAAAGAA